CCAACTGTGTATAATTCAATATTAATGAAATATCAAACATTCTTAGTCATTTTTAATGAAAATTTTATGACAAACGTGAATAGTCGAGTTTATTATCAATGTAAAATACTTGGAAAAATAGATATTAATTTAATAAAATCCTATATTTCAATTTTATATCTTGCGCAATACAAAATGTTATTTTGCTCCAATTTTTATCAGTAATATCACGTTCTGTTTATTAAAATAATAAATTTGATATTAAATTTTTTGCAAAATACATGTATAAGTATACGCATATTTTTGATGAAAAATTCTACTTATTGTATCCAGAAAGAATGTACTGCGAATAACAATGAGAAAAGCAACTCTCGTCGATACGTACCGCTGACGGCGATTTATCATCGTCTCTGAGATGCAGACCGCCGACCTCGATCACGTTAGTGGTCATCGGTCTGATTCCGTTTAACGTGTGATGAGAATTGACTAGATACAAAGCTATATCGTTATATAGGTCCTTGATATGCGGCACGTCCATGCCGAAGTGCTCCTTTACAAACGTCAATTGGTGGTTGGTATAATAATGCATATGCCAAGAGAGATAATGCGTCAAGAAGAAATTTGTCAAACGTTCCTTGAAATCCATGCGTTGGCCGTGAGAGAAAATGCTCGGGACGAAGGCAGGATTGGCCGGATTGCCGGATACCTCGTTGAGCCAGTCGTGAAAAGCGTTGGTTACCGTTGCGACTACGGGAACTTTGAGATGACGGCCGAAGGCTATGTAGCACGGTGCCGCGAACAGCTGCGCATATTATCAATCGATCGATTAATTATTCACACTCAATAAGTTACATCTCGTAATCACACGCTGAGTATCAAGCGCACACACAGACTAGTCTCACACTTGTTCCGCAGGACAAAGATGCATGATGCGCCTGGATCACGATCATTTAATAATGCAGTAAAATTACGGTCGGACCTTGACGCGATGTCGCCTCGAGATATCACTCATCTAGAGGAGAAACGAATTATCATTATGACACGTCGCTGCACACAGCGGCGAGAGAAAAAATAGATATGATGTTCGTGTCGCGTAACAAGAGCGAATACGTAATATCATGCCGAGGTATTATTACATCGGAATTGCTGATTTTACGAGGCAATTCGGGATCGGCGTTTAAAGCTCGGCGCATAACTGTGCATCTTTCGCAAAATTCTTTCCGAAAATAACGTTTTTCAATGCCTGACAAGTTTGTTAATTAATGGTTTAATTATACGCTAACGTTGATTACGTTACATCTCTCGAGATTCGGAAGGTAAAGTCTTCGCGTGCCGCGAGTACAACGCGAGTTAACACGCAGCTTATTCTTGCATCATTTATTTTCCATTTCGCATTCAATCATTCGGAAACGAGTAAAAGCTCGTTAGAACCTCTAAACACTGTGATATTCATTGAATGAGGCAAATTGAATAACGCAACAAGTATCGTACAACTCATATCGAGATTCAAACGTTCCCGGTTTATTATATTGAGTGTGGCAATTTCACGTGTCATTACATCTGTTCGTTATAGTTGCTCTTTCTGCTTTGTTTCGTTCCTTATTCTCCCTCCAGCGTGAATATATAACCGTTCCATTTTGAACACGGAAAGCGCGAGCCAGTACAATTCGAACGAATAGACTTCTTACAAGAGCCACGTTATTGTCGTTACCGTAAAACTTAATTTAATTTATCATTAATATTTAATAAACACACAATATAAGTTAAATTGAACCATAATGCAAATTAATTAATTAAGATTTCTAATTTAATTTGTTAAACCAAGATGGAATTCAATTTAATTAACTCGTTTTCATAAATTATAAAATCTTTTTGTGACATATATATATACATATATACACACGCACACACATATAATTTATTACTTTTATGACATCTAGTATAATATGAACGCAGCATTTGCGTTCAGACTATCATATTTGTGATGTCGCTGATCATATTTTAATGTCTCCTGTTCTTGCGTCACGATATCTAAAATATGATTTAAGATTATTTATAGCCGAATGTTGTGCAAATGTCTTACAAAATTTTAGAACTTATGAGTTGAATTAGTTAATGAAAGACTTGATTCGAACGCTAAAGAACCTTTATAGCAGTGAAAAAATTTCTGTAAAAAATGCATCGTCATAAGAGTCCTAACGATTCGAGTTGATTTGCAAAATTGGCAATTTTGATGTAACACTAATATTTTGATATCCAGGTATTGTAAGAGCACTTGAATTAATGGCTTTACGATGGCCTCGAAATTATCATTATTATTATTATTATTATCATTGACATAATAGGG